AGGTCCTGGACTAGGAAGAACCTGGGAGAGGGGGGTGTCTCTGTCTGTCTCTGTCTCTCTGTTTCTCTCTCTCTCTCTGTGTGTGTGTCTCTCTCTGTGTTGGCAGAAGTTTAAGACAGGCGATGACCCCAGGAGAAAAAATTCAGGGCCTCGGTCTTCAGTTATTGCATTGCTCCCACCCGACCCAGCTTGCGCACCCCCCCCCCGTGATGGCTGTATTCGGTTTATTGGCTGTCCTGTTTGTTTTTTTCTGGGAAGGGGATTGAGTTAAGGAGACCGGCTATCTCCTTGTATGAGGGTGGCCGGTCTGGTTGGTGCCTCAGGCCAGACTTGCTGAGAGAACGCAGCCCGGGAGGACTTCTGATCCAGAACTCAGCGCTGTGATCCAGCCCCAAAGCAGGCCAAGTGGGGCCACGTCCCTTGGGCTTCCGTGGCTGGGTGGATTGTAGGACTGGACTTGGGGGCAGAGAGGCTTGGGAGGTGGCCCTGCGAAGTAGGACCCCAAGATGGAGGCTGAACTGCTGGATGGGCCAGGAGAGGCCTTCAGGGCATTGAGTGGAAGCAGCTTTCTGGCACACACGGCCAGAGGTTGGCATCAGGAGTGTCCCTTTGAATTTCTGGTCCTCAGCCAAGGGACTGGGGCCTGGCTCCAGGTTGGGTCAGTAGAGCCCACCCTGCTGGAGTCCCCCAGGCCACGCTGATGGGCTGGGTTCCTTTGCGGTCCATCCTTGCTCTGTCCCCTCTGTTCCTGGCCTGTCCCGCATGAACCTGGCCCTCCCTGGGGTAGAGAGCCCAGCTGGGACAGGCAGGCATGGGAGGGCAGCCTTGGGCGGTTGGATCCACCCAGCCGTGCGCCCCCACACTAGAACGGGCAGGTCTGTGCAGAGCCGGCAGCCTGTCATCTGGGCCTGGGCCCGTGCCAGCCCGGCTCCAAATCGCTACCTGAGGATGTGTTTTCTGCTCAAGTTGGCAGCTGTGGGCGGGGAGGCAGGGCAGCCAGGAGGAATGCGGCGGGCCGGCGCGTGTCCCTGTGGTCCTCGCTCTGCTGGCCGGCTGGCGGCGGGCAGGACGGGGCAGGTCCTGTGCCCTCAGGCCTCTGGGCGCAGGTTCCCAGCCAGCTTCCCTACTTCCCTCTCCAGGCCGAGGCCTCCAGTGCAGTAGGGAGACCAGACCAGGTGGCCGTCCCCTAGATAGTGCTCCAGAGAGGTGGCCTGGAGGACCACTTGGTGTCCGTCCTGCAGTTGCCTTGGATGTGGAGATGGTAGCATCAGTGTCTAGTTTACCCTAGGACTGGCCTGTAGGTGGAAGGACAGATATGCCCCAGTCCAGGATGATCTGTGTTTCTGGGGTCCCCACAGGGGGTGATGGGAGGAGAACTGGAGGATGGTGGTGGTAGAAGAGTGGCCCCTGGGGAAGAGGTGGACACTGGGAGATGGGGCTTGGCTGGGTCCTCCAGGTCCCTGATCGCTGCTCCTCTGGCCCTCCTTACTTTGACCTGACCTCGTGGGCCTTGGTGACTGTGGTGTGCAATGCTGACCAGGAACGTCTGTGAAGTAGGCTGTGTGTGGCCTTCCTTTCTGACCTCATGGTCCCCAGATGGTAGGGACACCCTGGGTTGGTGGCTGGGGGAGGTTGGTGAAGGGTTTGGGACCACAGGAACTAACTGGAACTCAGAAGGGGCCAGTTCCTGGCCTGACCACGTTCTAGCTGCCCAAGTGTGGGCCTGGGCCTGGGGCATCTAGTAGGCAGCCTTGTCTCTGTGGGAGCACCTTTGCTTCAGGGGTTGCTGCAGTGTGTGGGGGGCACGGATGGAGAGTTGAGGTGGAGCTGAGAGACATGAGTGTCCCCATCCTGACGGTGCTGGGACTGAGGTCTTGGCTGTTTTCTTTGGGGTTTGTGCAGTGTGGCAGGCTCAGCTAGCCCCCAGTGCCCTGTTCCCCTCAGGTAGTCAAGGTCGCTGAGGGGATAGTGGAATTCTCAAGGTTGAGCAGGTCCTCAGGGAAAGGATACCCCAGGGTGGCCGATAAAGTGCCCTGGTGTGATTTATGGGACATCACGCCCTCTGTGTCCTGCCCTCCACTAGGGTCTCTGGTGTGGGTGGCCCTGCCCAGCCCTGCCCCCACCCCACCCGGCACCTTCCAATTCTGCAAGCCTCCTGCGTCTTTCTGGAGTGGAGACCCCATGATCTGCTCTCCCAGCTGCTGGGGGCCTTGCTCTGTGACTTTTACCCCTTGAGGGGATCTTGGTGGAAGGTTCAGCATTGGGGACCCGGCCAGGTGGTTAAGAGGAATCTGCTAGGACTTAGGTCAGGTTATGTCCACATCATACACCTCTCTGAACCCCACTCTTCACCTCACTCTTAACCTCCTCTATACCCTATTCTGTAGCCCACCCTGACTCTACCATGACCTCTTCCTGACCTCACCCTGTACCATTCCTGACCTCACCCTGCACACCAGAACCCCCTGTACCCCTCCCTACCACACCCCATACCCCCACCCCCTTCCAGCACACCTCTCACGCCCCTGTACCCCTCCCTACCCCACCTAGTACTCCTCCAAATTACGCTGTACCCCTCCCTAATCCCACCCTGTACTCCTCCCACCCCCACACCCCTGCTCACGCCACTCAGTACCCCTCCCCACACCACCCTTTATGCTTCCCCACCCCACCGTGTACCCCTCCTCACCACCTGTACCCCTCCCTACCACCTTCACTAACCCTACCCAGTATACCTCTCACCCCCTGTACCCCTCTCCTCCCCACCCCACTCTGTACCACACCCCACCCAGTACCCTTCCCCACTGCATCCTGTACCCCTCCCCCCCCACCCCACATTCCCTCCCTAAATCCATGGTGTATCCCTTCCCACCCCACCTTGTATTCCTTTTGTACCATATATGTACCCCTCCACTCTGCTGTTTTGTACCCTTCACTAATTAGACCCTATATCCTTCCTAACCCCACCCTGTACCCCTCCCTAGATCCACTCTCTACCCTTCCTGATCCCACCTTGTGCCCCTCCACTCTCCCACCTTATATTCCTTCACTTCTCCACCCCATACCTTCCCCACCCCATCCTATACCCCTAGTCACACCATGTACCCCCTCCTGAACCTACCCTGTACCCCTCCACTCTCACACCCTGTACCCCTCCCAGGCCCCATCCACTCTGTAACCCCACCTGTACCACTCCTAACTTCACATTGTACCCCTCCCCAACCTCACCCTCTGTGACCCTCCCTGACCCCACCTCGAACCCCACTTTATATCCCCCAACTGTCTAAACATGAGACTTGCTGAAGACTTTGATATGGGGGTGAGGTGGGCCACTGGGGCCCTTGGAGGCAGGGAGAAGCCCCATGTGGCCAGTGGATTTGGAAGTGGACTGGGGCTTTATCCCGAGGTTGTGGGGGACCTGACCGATGGGGACTGTGGAAGGTCTTTGGCTCTGGCACTGGGTGCCCTGGGTGACTGGATGGGGCCAGCCAGTGCAGGGGAGGGGCCATGGGCTAGGCTGAGGCTGGCATGAGATTTCAGGGTAGGAAGGAAGTGGGGTCTGTGCCCAGCCCTAAACCGAGGTTTCTTTCTGGGCCTGAGCTGGGGGTTCCTGTGTCTGAGCCAGAGCTGTCTGTCCCCTGACCAGAGGTCCCTGCCACCTTCATCCGAGTCAGAGATCTTACTCCTAGATCAGTACTTGAACTGAGTCCCTACTTGGTGATTTCAGCCCGAAATGGGGCTCTGTTCCCTGAGCCTGGGCCCCTGAGCCTCAACTCCAGGTCCAAATCAGGTCATAATTCCCTGCCCACTAAGCTGAGAATTCCCATCCCCTGAGTGTCTCTGTTTTCTAACTCCAGGTCCTTCTTCCTTGAACTGGGGTCCTTATCTTCTGGTTCAAGGCCAAACCACGTTCATACCCCATGAACTGGGGACCCCTATCCTGGAACTGAGATTCTTAACCTCCTGAGCCTGTCTCTGACTCCTGAACCAGAGTCCCTGTGCCCTGGGCTGTTGCTGTCCACCCGGGTAGGGATCTCTCTTATCTCCTGAGCTAGAGTCCCTATCCTTGACTTAGCTGTTCCCTAAGCCTGAATTTCTGTTCCCTAAACCAGGATCCCAATCCATTAAACAAGTAACTGTCATCTGAGCTGGGTGCCTGCCCTCTGGGCCAAGGTCCCTGTCCACTGGCCCAGATTGAGGTGGGCATGGCCATAGTCCGTGGTCACTGGGCTTTACTGTGGCAGTCCCGGAAACAGTGTGTGCAGGGTTAGGGACGCTGGGCTTTGCTCTTCGCAGCAGTGTCCCCAAAGCCTGGGAGGTGGTGCGCTGGGAAGAGGCAGGTGAGGGTGGTGGCGATGGTGGAGTCGTGGGGCCCTCTGAGGCTCGAGTTTCAGGAATTGTATCTGCTTGGAGCTGGCGCCACCAACACTGTGCTCCGTGGGGGCTGGTCTCCTGCAAGCAGGTCGGAGCCAAGGCCCCTGGGCAGGTCCAGCAGTCTCTCTGGCCTCCAGGCACCCAAGGCTGTGGCAGCAAAGCTGGTTTCTGTGCCCCTCAGTCACTGTCCTGGACATCTCCAGAGGAAGGACTCTGGGCTAGTCTTAAGGTTCTGGGCTAGGGAGAAGGTGGTCAGAAGCCAAAGAGGCTGCAGGGGCCTAGACAGTCAGGGTGATTTGCTGGACGAGGTATGTGCTCCAAAGACAGAGGCCTCCACCTGACTGGATCTCCCAGGGCTGGGTTGGCGGGTGGGGAGGAGCATTCAGCAGTTGTTTGGGAAAGAGCTGGGGTCCCTGCCCTCTGCTTGCTGGTGAACCCAGATAGGTGTGGGGTCTGAGCCAGCCCCAGACCCCCTCCCTCGCCACTACTGTGACTCCTCTTTGGCCCCACCCCTCTCTAAGGCTCTCCCAGCTCCTTCTTGCCATCCCTACAGACCCGTTGCCCTCATGGCCACCACACCCGCTGCCCCATGACCCCCACTGCCCCATAACCACACACCCACTGCCCCATCACTCCTACTGCCCCATAACCACACGTACCCCCTGTTCCATCATCCCACATACCCGCTGACCCATCACCCCACACACCCACTGTCCTATCACTTCCACAGACCCACTGATGCATCACCCCACTGACCAACTACCCTATCACCCCCACTATTCCACTCACCCATCTTTTCCACACACTCACTGACCTGTCACCCCCTGGTCCACGCAACTGGGGGGCAGGAGGAAGACATCAGACAGGATCATGAGGCTGGGGGTGGAGGGGAGACCTCAGACAGGACCACAGGGCTGGGGGTGGAGATGGACATTAGACAGGACCATGGGGCTAGGGATGGAGATGGACCTTAGACAGGACCACGGGGCTGGGGGTGGAGATGGACCTTAGGACCACCGGGCTGAGCACGGGGCCACGGGGCTGGGGTGGAGAGGGGGACCTTAGACAGGACCATGGGACTGGGGGTGGAGATGGACATTAGACAGGACCATGGGGCTGGGGGTGAAGATGGACCTTAGACAGGACCACAGGGCTGGGGGTGGAGATCGACTTTAGACAGGACCACGGAGCTTGGGGTGGAGATGGACCTTAGGACCACGGGGCCGGGGGGAGTGGGTCTGTGAAAAGACCTTGGGACCATGGGGCTGAGTGTGGAGATGGACCTCAGACAGGACCACGGGGCTGGGGGTGGAGGCCCAGGGGCAGTGGGACACCAGGCTCCCGCGCTGTCAGCTCGAGTTCCGGCTGTGTGACATCCTGCTCTCCAGGTGTGAGAGGAGCCCAGCTGGTGGGCGGCACAGGGCTTGTGGAGAGGTAACTAGAGCCCCTGCCCTGGGGAAGGTGGTGGTAACCCTACCTGCAGGGCAGGCGTGGGATTTCCGGGGAGCCAGTCCCAGACTCTGGTACGGCTGCAGGGAGGTGTGGTGCCTACTGCCCTGTGGTGGGACTCTGCCTGGACCAGAACCCATCAGGTGAGCCCTGGTGGTGGACAGGCCTGGAGCGGTTCCTGGTCCCACTTCCCATCCCCAGATCACCGAGAGTTCACTCTCATCTGTGGCCAGAACAACAGTGTCACACTCACTTCCAGTGGCTGTCCGCTTCCATTCTGTCCTCTTTGCCACCTGAGCCTATGTAGTGGCCTCTGACCTCTAGGTGCCCTCAGTCCATGCTCTCTATTCCCTCCTGGCCACCCAAGCCACTAGCTATTCCCTGGGCATCTGCTATCCCCACAAAGCCAGTGCTGTGCACACCGTCTGGCCTTATGCCCACTGGCCTGTCCTCAGACTGTCTTGTGCCCTGTCAGATGGCTGTTGGCTGTGCAGCTCTGTGATCTCTGTACCTGGCTCCCCAAGCACCTCTGCCCCGAGGCAGACTGGGAAGCTGAATGGTGGGCGAGTGTGGGTGAGAGGTGGGCTGCTTGTGAAGACTGAGGGACAGAGCCAGGGGATCATGAGCTGTGGGGAGATGTGACCACAGCATGATGGGATGGTGGATGCTCTGGGGGACGGGCTCAGGGACCGGATGGACATGGGGCCGCAAAGGAGTGGGTTGAGTGTGGTGGTGAATGCTGGGGGAAAGACTACTCCCAAGGCTAGTCTGATTCTGGTGGGAGAACCGACTCCTGGTCACCCCAGGAATGGTCTAACGAGCTGCTTGGGTCTTCTGTGTACGTAGTGAGAGTGACGTGGTGGTGTCATCATAGGTGCTGCAAGTGAAGCTGGGTGTTACCGTGTAGTCAGGTTGTGTGAGGCTGGGATACCCCTAGTGTAGATATGGATGAGTGAAGGTGTGTGAAGCTGGCGTGTCCCCCCTATGTGCACATGGGGTATGAAGCTGGGCTTATCAGTGAAGACGTGGGGAGGTGAGTGTGTAAACTGCATGGTACATTCTGGCCTGAGGAAGGAAAGACCCCTGGAGTCCCTGGGGGCCATGTGCGGGGTCAAGGTCCGTATGACTGCAACTTGTTGGTAGTGGTGACAGGTTCTGTTCTGGCCTGGGCAGGACAGAGGAATGCTGGCTAGTTGTTGAAAGTGGGAGCCAGGGTGGGGTTCTGGTGGCTAGAATGGTGTGGTTTCCAGCAAGCTGCTTGGGCGTGGGGTGTCCTTGGGCAGGGGCCCTGTGTGGGCTGACCAGTGCCTTCAGGTGGGTTGAGGGGGTGAAGCACATGACAGACCTTGACCAGTCTGAGCAGCAGGGTCCACACCACTTGGCTCAAGTCATTGCTGGACCGGTCACCCTGTGGTTGCCCAGGGCAACATGTTCCTGGCATCCCCTTCACAACTACCTAGAGCACAAGACCAGATGTTCGGGGGTGGGGAGCCTCCCTATACAACCCTCTCTGCACCTCCTGGATTTGGGACCATGAGCTGAGTGCCTTCTGGGCCAGTGCCAGCTGGCAGGCCTGTGTCTGGGCGTGACCTCAGCTGAGGGCCAGTGGGATTTACCAGAATCACTGTCCCTCAGAGGGCTAGGAGCAGGACCCTGTGCTGCCCAGCAGGTCCAGGATTCCCCATGGTCTCTGGTTGTGTCTGCTGCCTGGTCCCTCCCTGTCTCAGGGCTGGCTTACCCCACACGGCCGAATGTGCGTCCCTGAGGGGGTGGAGTGGGAAGGCACGTCATGGATGGGGTCAAGGGATCCTCAGCTATTAAGAGGGTCCGTGGCTGGAAGAGGACCCTTCTTCATGTGCAAAGAGCGGCCAAAGCCCCGAGCCTCAGGGTGCCTCCAGGGCAGCCAGCCCCACCGTCCGTGGGCCGAGCTGGTGAGTGCGGCCTTGGGTGTCTGATCGACCTCCTCATGTCCACAGCGTTCGTTCACTCTTATCGTGGAGGCCTGGGACTGGGACAATGACACCAACCCAGATGGTGAGTACAGACCTGGTGTGGTGGGGTGGTGCCCCTGGGACACTCGGCCTCAGTTCCCTGATCCCCATGGGCAACCCCCAACTACACCTTGTGAGGAGGTTTTCTCTGTGCTGTGTCCCCTTTTGCCCTGGCTGCCAGGACGCTCGGCCAGGTTCGAGATTTGCCGCTGCATTGTCTCCTGTGAGATGTGCCCTCTGGGGCCTGTCAGAGCCACAGTGGAATGGGGGGCTCTCCCTAGTGTTGTGGTCTCCTTTCTATTCCTGCTCTGAAGCATGGCCCCGAGGGGACCACCTCGGGGTGCTTGTAGACTGCAGGCACCTGGTGGGTTAGTAGCCTCTGATGCACAGGACTCAATTCAGTCAGAGGACAACTTGTAGAAATGTTGAGGGAGCAAGTCTGATGTGTAGGGTGGACCCTCAGGTCAGGGCAGGCCCTTGAGGCCCCAGGAGCTGTGTGGACGGCAGATCTTAGGGCCAGGGTGAAGCAATCTGGGGGTCTCGATTGGGAGGTGGCTGTGAAGGAGGGAAGAGAGGCTTGGATTCTGACTTCCTGAAGGTGCTGTACAGTGGGTCAGGTTTGGCCATGGGTGCCATGGACACAGCCAACTTATCTGAACCCTGGGATCCACCAGTATCCACATGCTGAAGGGATGTGGAGGGTTAGTGGGAAGGAGGTGGAGAGAGGTGCCCAGGGTAGAAGGTGTTCCCAGAAGGAGACGTGGGGTCTGGCAGGCAATCACAGAGAAGTGGCCAGCATTCTGCATTCCTAGGGACTCCAGTGAGGGCAGGGAGGCTGAGGGGAATGGTTCAGGAACGTGGACAGTGAGTATCTGGCCCTGGGACCGCACAGGTGGACAGGCCCCCCCCTCCAGCAGCACTTCCCTCAGAAACTGAGCTGTGCTTTTTTGGGCCCAAGCTTGCCCTGGACTGCCAGAGGCCACAGGATACTGGTGGGCACTTCTGGGAGTGACTGCAGGGGCACTGTGAGCGGAGGGTGGCTGGAAGAGTGCTAAGGGTTAGTACTGGCCCAACAGCACACAGTTGGGAGACAGCAGTGGGCATAGGCTAGTGACAGTGGTGGGCATAATCAAGGGCAGTGATGGGCACAGACATGGGGTCAGCAGTGGACACAGAGGGCAGTAGTGAGCACAGCCAAGGGCAGTGATGGGCACAGGTGGGGCAGTGGTGGGCACAGGTGGAGCAGTGGTGGGCACAGGTGGGGCAGTGGTGGGCACAGTTGGGGCAGTAATGGACACAGGTGGGAGCAGTGGTGGACATGGGCACAGGTGGGAGCAGTAGGGGCACAGGTGGGGCAGTGGTGGGCACAGGTGGGGCAGTGGTGGGCACAATAGATACAGGAGGGGCACAGTTGGGGGCCCAGGCAGAGAGTACCCAGAGGCTCAGTTAGAGGCAGTAGTGGTCACAACGGTGGGCATAGGAGAGGTTGGCACAAGGATGAAGAAAGGGGATGTGGAACTGGGGACTGGCAGCTGGGAATTCCCTAGACTTTGGAGCTGCCTGGCTAGTGTCTGTGTGTCCAGTGCTCCCCAGAGCTGTCTGGCAGTTTGTATTGTGCAAATACCAGGTGGTGAGCCCCAAGTGAGCCTAGGGTGGGTTAATTCTGGCATGGACCTTGAGTGGACAGGTTCTGGGGTGGATGAGTCCTTGGGGGCCAGAGTCGGTGGGTCATGGGCAAGTCTTGGAGTAGGCAAATCCTGGTGAGGGGAGCCCAGAGTGAATAGGGCCTATGTGGGTCCTGGAGTAACTGGGGCCAGGAGTGGGTGGGGTTCTAGGAGTAGACAAGTCCTGGAGTGGGCATGTTCAGGTGGTTGTGACCTGGACTGGAGCAGTGCCTGGAGTGACTGGACACATTGGCAGGGTAGGAACATGCAGGGCCTGGTGTGAGGAGGGGCCTGGCATGGGCAGTGCAGGTGTGAGCTTGGCCCAGCATGGACAGGGCTTAAGTGTGGGCTGAGCAGACACGTGTGGTACCTGGTGTGGGTGGTGCCCGGCGTGGACTAGGTCTCCCACAGGCTGACTCCCTGCCCCTGCCCCGCCCCAAGAGGAGCTGCTGATAGAGCGGGTGTCACACGCGGGCATGATCAACCCTGCGGACCGCTGGAAGAGCTTGCACTTCAGTGGCCACGTGGCCCACCTGGAGCTGCAGATTCGTGTACGCTGTGACGAAAACTACTACAGTGCCACCTGCAACAAGTTCTGCCGGCCGCGCAACGACTTCTTCGGCCATTACACCTGTGACCAGTATGGCAACAAGGCCTGCATGGACGGCTGGATGGGCAAAGAGTGCAAGGAAGGTGAGGGGCCACGTGGACGTCCGCCTGGTAGGCCTTACTCAGCATCTCTCTCACCTGCTCTGGACGTGGCCCTTGCCCGCGCCATCAGGTCAGAGGGGCCTGGCTGAGAGTGATCTCGGTTAGCAGTGCACTCACTCGCGATGGCCTGGCTGAGGGTGGCCGCCATCAGGGCGGCTGAGGTCGGAGTGGGCTTGTTCAGCAGTGCCTTCGCTCAGGGTGGGCCACGGCATGGCACTGCACAGCAGGCCAGGGCTTCCCCGAGTCCCGACTTCAGCAGTGTCTTTCTCTGTTCACAGCTGTGTGCAAACAAGGGTGTAACCTGCTGCATGGGGGCTGCAGCCAGCCGGGCGAGTGCAGGTGAGGACCCTTGAGCCCCAGGACCCGCACCCGGTGGGCTGTCACGGCCACTCGGGGTGTCCATGGAGTGGCTGGGGACGGTGAGGCAGGTGTGCAGATGATGGTGGGGATGTCCACTCTTCAGTGACAGGAGGGAGAAGAGGGTCCTTGGGGGGCGGGAGACAGGGAGGGGGAGGAGGGGCCTGGGAGGCAGAGAAGCAGAGGAGGGGCTCGTCTGTGGAGATAAGAGTGGGCAGGCCAGCGTTCTGGGGGCCGGATCCAAAGCTGCATGCCATCCGGTCACTTCTGGCGCGGAGCCATGCCAGAGGACAGACGAGGATGGCTCAAGATTTCCAGGCGATGATCTCAGAGGACATGCACCACCAAGCAAGTGGGCTTGCACCACTCATCTTTTAGTTAGAAGTTGAGTACTGAATCACTGTGTCAGTGTCAGCGCACGTGTCAGGCTCTGCTGCATGGCTGGCCCTGGCCCTTGGTCTGCACTTGTAGCACATGGCTGAGCACAGAGGCTAGGAGCCCCGAGGCCAAGGCCAGCCGAACACGAGTGGGCCCCGGCCTCGGCGCAGTGGGCAGCCCAGGTGAACAAGATGAGCCCCGTCCCCTGGCTGAGTGGGCAGCCCTGGCAAGCGTGAGTGACCCCCGTCTCTCAGGCCAGTGGGCAGCCCAGCTGCTGCACGGCTCCAGTTTCAGCCGGATGTCGGGGAGATGGCCTTGCCTTCCTGCTCAGGAGCGCCTGCAGGGAACCCGGGGAAGTGACCAGCTTGGCGCCCCACCCGGGCTATTAGCACACCCTTGGGCTCTACAGGGCCAGGCTCTGTGGTTTGGTGGCCCAAGGTGTGTCGTGGGCTCTCTTTGTGCCTTGGTCTCCCCTCTGGCCTGTGGAGGGAGGGTGTGGAGGAGACACTGCCCTGGATCAAACTGCCCTGTTGTGAGGCACCGTGTGCCACCTCAGCAGCCTCGGTTTCCCTACACCCAGCCTGGTAAACTGGACGGACTCTCAGTACGGCTGTGCGGCGGGAAGACGGCTCAGGAAGGGCCGTGCCTTTTCCCTTTTACAAAAATAAACTCACGTGGCAGGGGTGGCGTGGAAGTGATGCGTGCAGCCTGGACGTCATTCTGTCCCACAGGGGCTATGTGTTCTGGGCAAGGGGTCTCGGGGTTTAGGGGGCCTAGGGGGCTTGCTGGGACACTAGTCTCTCTTCCCATATGGCAGCACCCTGAGGTGGCCAGCCAGCCTTCTCTCACTTAAGAACTTCCTCGGGGTGGGGTGGGGGATGGTGGTGGTGCTGGTGGTGAGGTTTCTGGTCAGAACGTGAGCAGGGCTGGGTCTGTGGCCAGACCTTAAGGTTCAGCTGGAGTACTGGGCCCAGGACCCCTTCCCCTCATGTCTGACCTTGGGGAGGACTGAGCTGTGGCTGCCTTTAGGCCTCAATATCCTCATCTGTGAAACGGTCCAATTACAGGACTTGGTTGAGGAGCTTACTGCCTGTGAGTTATGAGTAAAGGTACACACTACCCAAGGCAAAGACCAGGACAGGGCAAGGATTCCTCCTTCCAAGCCCTGTGGCCTCTCCAGACTGGGTCAGCCCTGGCAACACCTGGCCACTTCATGCTGGCACATTATGCTTGGGGTCCCGTCAAGGCCTTCCTTTCCTGGCGCCTGCTCCTGGGGCCCCAGTTCAGGACTCAGTCCCGAAATAGCTCGGGGAAGACTGACAGGACAGCTGGAGCTCACTGTTGTGCGGCCAGCGCTGGGAAATGCCCGTGACACTGAGCTTGGCCCAGGGCCCTCCCAGTTCAAAGGCCCACGCCGCTGCCCTGGCTCCTGTGGGTGTCCTATACCCTGCCCTCACCACTTCCCCTTCTCCAGGTGCAAATACGGCTGGCAGGGGAGGTTCTGTGATGAGTGTGTACCGTACCCTGGCTGTGTGCACGGCAGCTGCGTGGAGCCCTGGCAGTGCACCTGCGAGATCAACTGGGGTGGCCTGCTCTGTGACAAAGGTGTGGGGGTGCATGGGGCAGAACCCAGGGCGAGCGGTGCACAGCCCGGACGGAGGCTTGCAGGGCCTAACCTTCTGCACAACTACCCCTAGACCTCAACTACTGCGGCAGCCATCACCCCTGCACCAATGGAGGTACCTGCATCAATGCAGAGCCGGACCAATACCACTGCGCCTGCCCGGACGGCTACTCTGGGAAGAACTGCGAGCGGGGTATGTGCTGTTAGTGTGGTTGCCACGCCCAGGGCTTGGCCTACGCAGCTGCAGCCAGGGCAGGACAAGGGACTCTGAGAGGGGACTGGACCGCATCCACCCAGCCCCAACCCCTGCTGCTCAAGGTCTTCCACCCACCATCCCGCTCTGGTCCTGTAGCTGCGCATGCCTGCGCCTCCAATCCCTGTGCCAATGGAGGTTCCTGCCATGAAGTGCCGTCCGGCTTCGAGTGTCACTGCCCCTCAGGCTGGAGTGGGCCCACCTGTGCACTCGGTGAGTGTCCTGCCTGCCTCCCAAGGGGAGCTCTCTAGGGAGGAGTGGAACCCCAAGGCCACAGAGAGGAGCATGGGAACATTCTGGTCTGGGGGAGGGGTGTGTGGAAGGGAGGGTGGCATACAGAAGACACTCCAACCACCACCCTGCCCACAAAACTGCCCACATCCCCTCCTCCATGTGCCCTGACTCTGCTTGTAGCCCACCTGCTCCCCACACAGCCCGACCTGCCTGCTCACCTCCGTCCTGTGCTACCCACCATCCTGTGAGGCCCTCCTCATCCCCACCTCCATTCATGGCCCTGCTCTCTGTATCCTATCTCTTCCTGTGCTGCGGCCCCCCTCATGTGCCCCACCTTTTCCCTGCAAGGCCCTGCCCTCTTCGCATGTAACCATACCTCCTCCTGTCCCCACCTCCTCTCTTGGCAGCCTACCTCGCTGTGTGCTCTGCTTTCTTCCCTCATGGTCCCTCCTCCTCCCCTCGAGGCCCCGCCTCCACCCACCTCCTCCCTGCACGGCCCCTCCTCCCATCCAGGCCCCGCCTCCATCCACATGCTCCACCTCCTCCCTGCACGGCCCCTCCTCCCATCCAGGCCCCGCCTCCACCCACCTCCTCCCTGCACGGCCCCTCCTCCCATCCAGGCCCCGC